CCCCAAAACCCCAAAACCCCAAAACCCCAAAACCCCTCGGTTGTATAGAATTATTGAAGATTTTTTAGATTAATGGCTGATTACAGTGAGGTAGGCAACTAGCCTAGCTTAGCTTTGAAGGCTGGATTTTAGAGCGAAGAGGAAGGGATCTAGAGGGAAGAGGGTATTATGGAGGATTTAGTGAAGGAGAGAAGGGTGGAGAGGGTTTGTGGGATGGAGAGGGAATGGATTAGTAAGAATTTTTTAATTTTGAGAGTTTAGAGGGAAGATAGGGGCTTTAGGAGGTGATTAATGTTGTTTAGTTTTGGTTTTTAAGCTTTTTTGGTATGATATGTTGATTTAGGGAGGAAACCAGCTTGGCTCATCTCGAATCGAAAATAAAATGAAAAACAGGAACAAAAATTTCAAGAATTCAAGAGGACCAAGGAATTCTCATAGTTTTGGTAGGCAAATTTTGCACTTTAACCTTGTTTTTAACAAAATAGTATTTAGAGCTCTTTCAAAGGAGATTCCCTCTTTAAAGAGAGTCAAGAAAAACCTAGCCTCTAAAATAGTCAATATTCCAAAGCCATTGCTTGCAAAGAACAACTTTAGAAGTAAGCTAAATTACCAATATATAGAAAAAGAGGATACTAGAAAATTTTCAGATCGAAAGAATAACGATAGTACAATTTCTCATTTTGGGTCTGATTCAAACACACTTGAAGCTAATTTGAATCATATTTCTGATGACCAGATCATCAAGTCTGTAATATTCAAAGATATCCCCAAAGCTCCCAGTCAAAATGCTGAAGAAAATAAGGAAGAAATTGTAAGCATTCCAAAAACCGTGGCTAGTATCGATAAAATTTGATAATCCTAATATCACTGTCTTTTCCACATAAAAATCTAGAATTACACTTTTTCAACGATCTACAACATTTTATAGACGACTTGAGAAGAGAGCAAGATTCAAATATCTAATGAAGAGTACCAGAAGAGGAACCCAGAGATAGTTTTCAGGAACAAGATTCATGAATTACGACTTCCTAAGGGCTCTAGAGAGGGCTCTCCCTCATATTTCACTGAAGAAAATCCAAGCCCTCAGAAATATGATGGATATATGGTGAATCATTATAGCATTCCTAATAAGCTGAAGGTGTCTTTTGGGGGCTCTAAATCCAAATAGCTTCAGGCAGATTAGTAACCCTTATTGATGATATATTAGGTACGAAAGAAGAACATAGCAATTGGAAAATGTCAAGAGGATGGATGCTGTAAGTTACAAAATTTTATAGATAGGAAACATGGCAAAAGAGTCTCTAGTATGAGCAAAAGTTTCAAAACTTCTCTACAGAATACAGTTAAGGGAATGAAGCAGAGAAAGAAAGATTTCCAAGGCCTCAGACTTCAGGTAGAGGTTTTGTTAAAATTTAGAAGCATCAACGGTCAAATTCTGATTTAGAGTCTTATCCAATTGAGCAAAGTATCTCCTTCTCAGAGATGAAATTTCCTGATCAAATAGGTTCTGCAAGAAAATTTACTAATAATAGATAGTAAATTTTCAAAATTAACATTTTTAGCAACTCTGGAGGGTCTGATCTCAAATTCTCTGGAAAATTGGATCCAAGTTCTTTCAGGAAATCCTCTTCAAAGAATAGAAAATACGAAACTTCAGCAAGGGAGCGCAAGGGTATTTTTCCAGAAAAGAAGTCTTATATCAGGAATTATGCTAAAATCAAACCGTTGAATAAGACCTCATTGAGAAAAATCAAGGAGATTTTGGAAAACCAGAGAAGAAACCAGAACACTCTCCTAGAACAATTAACTAAGGACCGGAATTATGTATTAAACAAGCATGTAAATTCATTGGAATAATTTCTTTAGAAGAGGAACCAAGAAGATATTTACCCATTGTATGAAATTCCTTCAAGGAGAATGATGGAAAATAAGTCATTTAGCCATTTTGATGAAGCTAAAGAGACAGGAAGTAATTTGGCATGTAACTATGCTCATGAGAATTCTGTATTCCCTCCTCAAAACTAATCCCTGATGTAAACTCCACAGATTATTTCTAAGAGCTTTAAATAATGAATGTGTTTGATTTATTATCATAAAATAAATTAAAACTCCAATAAATAATATATAAAGGGGTTTTGGGGTTTTGGGGTTTTGGGG